TCTTTTAAGTGCCTTGTTGGTACTGGTGCAAAATAATAAATGCTAAACTTTCATCTAATAATAACTATTTACCCTGCAACTGTCAGAAAAGCCTATAGAACAATCAAGCTTGACAGTATAAAATGAGAGCACGTACAGTAATTATTACTTCTTGATGAGACTTGTCGGAACAACTATTCTGCTTTGAAAGGTGCAGGGCAAATTGTGCTGCTTGCCAGCAGCGTGCAGTGCAATCCTAATTTAGGAGAAGAATAAGTATAGCAATATAGTCCAATTTTAACAGTAATGGGGAAGTATCAGATCTGAATTTTTTGGACCCTCCCTCTCAAGCCGTGCCACCAAATCTTGACTTTAGACAGGGATATTTGCCAGCACGTACACGCACGTGCACACACGCACATACACACAGGCGCGTGCGCAGACACATACACACACACACACACACACACACACACACACAAATCAGTCTACTGCAAATGCTACCTAAACAGCCATTCTGTTTCCTTTTGGAAAGGCAACGACCCTGTGGATCAAAGGCAACCATCCTGAAGAAGAATCTGACGTTTGTAAGGCCTGTAGAAACCCCATTGTGAGAGATCATATTTCACCAAGCGGAGGGGTAAAGTCATGGTGTTCCCGGGCATGAGTCTATCCGTCTCCCACCTGTCCACTTTTGCTTCTGCCAACTTTCACCTTTAGTACCTTTTCTAGTATCCCAGGTGCTGCCCCTGAAACCAGCGTTATGTTCAGTATTGAGCCAAGAATAAGAAGAGAAAAAGTTTAACATAAAACAGGAAAGAGTCGTAAGTATAATTTAAAAAACATCAGAACCTACAGCATATAATATTTTGAATTCATGTCGGTTTAATCTTCTTTTTCTTATGGAGAACTACAAGAAAGGGTAAATAATTAATTATTAATGTTCTATAGTCACTGAAAAACAGAGAGTTGTGCACGGGATGTGGATCTCAATCCATCGCTTGGCTGAGCTGGCTGAAGGAAATTTTATAAGTTTTTGTGAAACAACAAACCATACGACAGTCCTAATAGTCATTGTTTTGACATTGAATTTACAAACACATAGCCAAAGGCCTGATCCTGCCAAGAGATCTGCAGGGATGAAGCTTTGACTTCTGGTCATGCCTATTAGTGAAAAGAATATACACAGCTATGTTTTAACTAAATATTTGGATAAATAATGCAGCAAGGACAAGTTGCCCTCAAATTAGAAGCAAAATACCCACTAATATTCCTAAGACCAGGATTTCACCCATCACCTTTAAGTATCTTTCCTCGTAGTGAGACCCCAACTCCATAAATGTTGATTTTCTTATGAACTGGGATGAAAGAGTTTGAACTTTCCCCACCAAGTTTGCCTGTGTACAGAGGTCTTTTACTATATAAATTTAAATATACAATCTGTTTTACAACATTTTCCATCACCTCTCCTCTCCATATGTTCTCCCACTAGGAATCTAATGAGTTCTGTGTATGAGGGATGACAAGGGAATATGCCTGAGAAATAATTCGAGCAATTACGACATATGGAGGCATTGTTTTTGAGTCGCTTTTGCCATGAACATTAGGCAGAGCATCTGGGACCAAATTCTGTCTACCTGCCCATGGACATTAGCAAAATCACCATCTTCCATTTGTAAATTCTGCTGAGATAATCTGCCATACAGAGAGGACCATTACATCAGCTTTACGATCACAGAGCATATTGAAACACAGACCATTTATTGTTAGGAAAAAATGCTTCTATTCAGATAGAATAGTGTGAGCTGGAAACGATTTTAAGAGCCAATGACTTCTCTCCAAGAAGTACTACAGAGAGTCTATGTTCAGTTATGGGCCACTATTTACAAAAGAAACTTAACTTTTCTCATTACTGCTGAAGTTTGGTAAGAGCTGACTGGATCCCAACTCACAGGAAAAAATGACAAAAGAAAAATAAAAAGAAGAGAAAAGGTAAAGAGTTTGAAACTCTAAATCAGTAACATGAAGGGCTGGTTATATTCTCTACATCCAAACACTGGCCAGACATCCAGAATTAATCATAAAGAGGGGAACAGGGGGAAAAAATCCTTTATATGAAGAAATAATGACTAAAACAACTACCACACACTCTGGAAGTTCTGGTTATGAGATCTAAAGTAAGGAGAAAAAGTTCAAGAGATTCAGCTGGTACACTGATATTTGGGTAGAATGCAACTCCACCTACTCATAATACTCAGGAAAGAGGCTCAGTAAGGCAAGCAATGTTAGTATTTTTAAATCTGCTTTTCCCAGCTAACCTGCTTCTCAGTTGCAACAGCACAGGCAGAGCCATAAATCGCAGACTACAGACACTTTGGGGTACCTCAATGCTGTAGAGAAAAAAAGAATGGCACTGCTTGTGTATTGGGTTTAAATAGAATTTTATAGTTATGACTATAAACATAATTTACAGATCTAATATAGAACTTTTATAGTTAGGGTTACATATGGGCAGTAATATTTCTGTTACACAAACTACTTCTTGAGGTCAGTTTGTTAGGTAATAAACTGGCTTGCAGCTATATTCAAGTCCTTCAGTCATGGCTAATATTGATCTGATAGTGATATTTAATCAAGAAAATCTATGATCAAGGAAAACCTGGATTTCACTTCCCCCTCACTATTACCACATAGCATTGCCTGTACAGTAGCAAGGAGAAACTGGAAACAAAAGGAAGGTTCTTTTAACCATTCACCCGAATAGTGACAGGAACGTAAACTTTAATGATCTTGCTCCTTCAAGATTTTCCTTGCAAAATCACCAAGGCACCTTGTCATTTCTTCCATCTGGCTTTGGAGGAAATCTCAGAGACACATGAGACAGACCTTTCCACCACTGTTCCTAGAGAGTAAGTCCTAGGACCTGCTGATATCACCACATGGAGCCCAGTCCTGGATTTCTGCGGGGTGTTAATTGTATCCCAGCAGTTCCACGCAGCTGCTGTGTTCCCAAAACCTGCATCTCTGGGGAAGACACCATACTACACCCCCAGATCAGCTCCAGCTTGTGCAAGCCTGGCACCCCATTAACAGCACTTGGAGAGAAAAGAATAGAGTTGTTCCATAGTCCAATAGTTTCCAGTTTTCACCAGAAATGGCTCTTGCTAGGCAGTCTTAAGTTTGGTTTGCATTTGGAGATGGTGGCAACGCTTGGTATCAAAACAATGTTGTGGGAAATTCAGCAATATACCACCTTCTACCATAACCACATAAACAGCTCAGCTAAATACAGAAGATGCGTAACACACAGCCAGGGAGGATTGATTTGCTAGAATATTTGGAATGATAAAGCAGTAGCAGAAAGTTTTGTGACATCTTATACAAATAATATCAAGGATGCAATTTGGGAATGTTTTCTAAGGATACAAAAGAATGAACAGAAAAGTTCTTATCCCAGGATACGAACTGCCTTGTAAAGACTAATAGAGTGATTAGGTAATGCTCATTACACCATTTAATACCCCTGAAATAACGATAAACCATTTAATGCCATCAGATTGTGCAGTTGTGACATGTTTGATACAGAGCTATTTATTTTTTGGCAAGAAGAAACTAGAGATTAAGGCAATGCTTCTATTACAAATCAAAACTGGGCTCCTTTCGTTTGCCAGCATCCTGGTTAACAACAGATGTGTCAAAATTCCAGGCATGAAGGAAGCGGCAGTAAATTAAGAGAAAAGGATGCCAATCACATATTTCCATTTTGTTGTTAGAGATAACTGTATGTTGCCTGGATAGCTATAAATGCCAGGAGTACAATCATAACCAAGAAAAAAAAATCCTACATATTTTTTATGAATTCTAACAAAATGACAACTTCATAGCAGATCTTTAGTTTTAAAATAAACTTATCTGATGCATTCTGTCTCCAGTTTTAAAGCATATAGATGCTATATGGAACAGAGCTGCATTTGCTTGTGTGAAGTATTGACACGCTACAACAGCAACACTCTCAAGCAGAGATTTAAAAGTTGTAACAATGGTATCTGCAGGAGCACTGTTTCAGAGGTTAGCTCTTACCTATCGTGACCAATAAGCCAGATAGATAGAAAACAACCTGGGCCGTTAGGCCCGAAAGATTTTTAAGCTCTCTTTTGTATTTATTAGAACCGGTTAGGAAATTTCTTTCATTAAACTCACATTGGACTTCCTTCTTGTTTCATTGAACTGATTCAATACACCTCATTTTGGAGAATTTGAACAAAAAAAGTGAGTTTTCTTTCC